TTCTTTATTAGAACGGAGAACAGTTAACAATGGAAAGCTCTAGGATTTGACAGTTACACTGCTATTTTTAGAATCTACTCTTCAATGATCTTGAAGATTAATTAAACATGGCAAAATTTGCTAACTAATTATTTAGATTCTTTATTAAGATGAGAAGACTGAGGCACTTCATCAGACTTCAATTAAATGAAAAATGGTAAACTCACTGGTAGGTCAGAATTAATACAGTTACTTTCAAGGTGGTGCAAATCATGAGAAACTAAACACAGGTTGTATGTGGTTCCCTGAAAACTCAAGAACTGACTCAGAAAGCACCATGACAGCATCCGCTCAGTGCCTAGCAACAGTTTGGAAAGCTGAGAAAATGCTTAGTCACATTAAAGAAGACAGGATATGGAAGGAGGACACAGAATTTAAAATGTATTACCTCTCCAGTAAAATACTGAATTTGGTTAACTTTCTTAAAAGAAGCCTTTCAGAGGAAAGCAATAATGAATGATAAAAGCATATAAGCAGCCTATGAAGGACTGGGATTTTCTGGTGAATCTCTCTCACGCAAGATCCCTTCTACTTACCAATACAGTAAGTAAGACTTCCCAGAACCCTGTCTGCCCTTCCTGGGACCCTGCCCTTCCCAGAGCTGCATGAGGGTTCCCTAGCACCCTTTCATTATGATGAAGAACAGAGGAAAAGAGTGGAGTCGCAGAAGCTCAGCATTACCCAAGCAACTTCAAAGAAGTTCAGGTCTGGTACTCAGCACCACAGTCCATGAGGATACTGCAAACTATGAGGCAAAACAACATAGGAGAAGCTCCATGACAGGATAGGATTCCCACTGTCAAGCTGCCTTCTTATCCTCTAAGACTGTAGGCATCGCTTGCAAACTTCAAGTTGATGGATTACATCCTAAATGGGGTCACAAGCAGCACAGAACAATTAATGATATTAGCCTGGTGCTGCCCTCTGACTGATCCATTAATCTCAGAGCAGGGGTAACACTCAACAAAATTGAAAACCAGCACATACTTCAAAGGAAAATCTCTCCTGTATATAATCAAATTCTGAAATCCGCTAATGTGAGACATTAGTAAACTAAATAGTTAAGCAAAATTATGAAGAGGACTTGATATTTACATCAACTGAAATAGCATTCACAGTTGTATTTGCCAGATTAGAGTCACGAGGACACTAATTCTCATCCCTGAAAACAGAAGCTGATTGCCAGCTGGGATTATGAAAAGAATTCCCTCTCCTTCCTTTGTCTCAGGCTACCAGTGTACATCTGGTGTGTGTTGATTATCTTCCTATAAAACATTATAAGAAAGAATAATTGAATTGATTATCATTGGAGAAGCCAAATTGGTTGGGTCAATGATCTTCCATTACGGTATGACAACTCTTCTGAATAGTCTAATACTTCAAACAGCGGATAAAATAACCATAGATGCTTATATTAGCTCTCCTTTTCCCTCCTCTCACCCTCACCTAGAACAGTTCAAAAGGTAAAAGCTGTGTCTTCATTTTCACAGATTCCTTACTTGTCAGCTACAGACAGTCTGGATATATTTTTCTGGTAGAAACATTGCAAAAATCTATTCTAGGTCAACGACTTCCACTGTCAGGATCATTCAAAGTGCTCAGAAGGCTCAAAGGAGAAAAATAAATCACTAAGTATTGCTATTATGCAAGCTCCCTGAAGAGGTATTGACTGCATTTATTGCAAAGAATTAAGAAGCAGCTTTAATGTCATTCTGTTCACGAATGTCCTTTCTTTGCAACTGATCTCACATAATAAACCCTGCTACAAAAACGAGCATGCACTTTGACTAGATTAAGGACAAAATGACGGTGTGTATGTAATGCTGTGAGTTATAAACGTGAAGTCATGCCAGTGAAACACACACAATTCTCTGCGCGTACATGACACCGAGAAGAAGAAAGGAACACACGGTTTATGCTATGATCACAAAGACAACAATTCTTACTAAAGCAGTTCTATAAAATCCACTGAACGGACATTGTTAAACAGCAGACATGCGAGGAAGTATGTACGTGACTTCTCCTGTGAAAGAAGGATTTGTGAAATTGCCTTGCCTTGAATCAGGTGAGATGTGCGACTGTACATGACCTACACACTTCCAGTTCAGCTGGGACACCCACCGCAGGAACGGCAGAAGGTATTTATATAGCAACAACCTTTTCCACTGCTCCTGCCTCCCAAAGTGATGTGGATCATTAATGTGGGCCGCTGCCACGGGAATGGTGCACTCAAAGGTCAGTAGCATCACTCCCAGCACTGCCAACAGGCAGGAGCTGATGGTCGAGGGCAAGCGAGGAATTTTGCCCCAGAAGATCCTCTTATGTTGTCCCTAAGGTTCTGGAGCAGTTCAAGGGCAGAGGTGAGCACTGTCTGCCAAACAGGGTAGAGACGAGGGATTTCTCCATCCCAGCTCTAACACAGGCCTAAGTGAGAAAGAGGATCTGACAGAAGACAATCGTCCTCTCCACAAAACAAGCAGCAGGCAGGGCTCTTGTGTCACACAAGAAAGGAATCACAGGCAGCAAGATAAAAATACATCATTCTCTTTTATATCTAAATTCTCCAGTAGTAGCTCTTGCTTACTTTACAAACAAATGTTTAAATCTACAGTGAAGCCAAAATGCCAAGTATCCTGAAATCTCTGTCTCCAAAAAACAGCTTTCTGGAACCATTTCTGATTTTGAGCAGCTAAAACCAACACAGTTCACCAGCGCCAGCAGAATATCAGACAGCTCAGCACTCCAGGACCCAGCCAGAAGCCGGGTAGGAGCCTGTGCCACACAATACTTAGCCATCTCATCAAGTCTCGCTCCCAGCTTACCAGAAACCAGGAAAAAACCCCAGGCATTTCTCATCTGGCCTGCATAAAGCTGAAAAGTAGCCTTTCTGAGGTTTTATTCCATGAAGTGAAGCAAAAATAGAGGCAGTTGCACCAAATTTTACCCATTCCTTTCTTCTAAGAAGACATAACATTAGTAAGAGCCTGCTAAACACGCAGTATAGCAGTATGCATATAGATACTTATACATCTGTTTTATTTAATAATGTAGTTAATTATTATAATTCACATAATAATTTATGTTTAATTTTATTTTTAATACAATATTTTAATGGGGCTATAAATCTGCTTATGACACTACTGCATTGAGTCATTTTTCCCATGAAAGCTCAATATCTTAAGCTTACTTACAAGGAAAATATAGAAGCATCTCTCCTTGATAAATGAGACCTGCCAGAAGCCAATGATCCCTGTGCACAGGATACCTAGCACACTTGACAACGTGAGCTCAACAACAATGAAGAAATACTCTTTACAGTCCACTATTTTACGACAAAAGGGTCCAGACTGCAACCAGTCTGATGGTAATTTACTTCCAGAGGGAAGATTCTGGGAGCATGCTGTATGAAAATAATTTTATGTTTCCTCCTTCCTCCAAACCCATTATTTTTCCATGGAAGCAAGTATTCTATTCTGTAACTTATGCAATAATAATTACACGAACTAAGCCGGTTATAAATTGTATATTATACACGTTTTATGTGAGCACTTTCTTTTTTTTTTTTTTTTTGAGCTAAAACACCAAACACAAAAAATATACATAGCATTTGCTTTATGTACTAAAACACAGGAAGACATTATTCTCTGTCATAAGGATTTTATGTTCGAACGTCCCAACTCTGCAGAAAACCTACTAAGTACATACTCATTTTTATAGTTAACTCAGTAGGAACACTCACAACATGTGTGAGTCTTTGCAGAAATAGTACTGATGTAGCTAAAACTGTAAACGTTACACAAAAAATATATTCACCTATAATTACAATGTCTAGTAACTTTTTTCCTAAATAATCTCTTTCAAATAAAACCTCCCCAAGACTCTTTAGAATCTACATCCCAACATTATTCCTTAATGTTGCGTGGGAACAGATATGGAATTACTGCGGCAATATGCACGCCTGCATAAAACACCACCGTCTGAGGGGTACTGCATATATTATCACCAGCAGTTTAGTCATGGTTCAAAAGAAGTCAGCCCTGAACTCACTAGTTAAAGAATTCAGCTGTATTCACTGCAGAGGATTTTGAGAAAGAACCAAAGGGTGACTACAGAATGCCTGTTGCTTTGCAATATGCCAAAGATATTTTTGGATTTATTTTGTAGAGTTAAATCTTTGCTGAACTTAACAAGCTATTAAAGAAAAAGCTACGCAACTGCACAGGTTTTTAAATGGCAAATCAGTTCATTTCTAGGGAAATACTGTTCTTACCAATTTACAAACATTTTACAGCCTTGTACCTATATTAGTTTAGAATTTTACTTGCGGTATATGTTACATTTTCTAGCCTATTCATTATTTTATGGATTTTTACAGGGATGTACTTTAATGAACTGCAGCATAGGAACAGACAGAAACCCAGAGATAGTGCACGGACTCAGCTCAATGAATTAATACTAGGATGTTAATCTCCTCAATTTGGAAACTTTACTGCATCCAGCACTCTCTTCTCCTCTGTGCTGAGGTGCCTCTGGAAGCGCTGGTGTGCTCACAACCTTACTCCTCCAACCCTGAGGCAGTAATGTAGCCAGTCTTGCCAGCGGAAGAGCACGGACGAGATCAGTGGCAGCAGAGTTTCCATCTGACCAACACCCATGGCTTTCCTAATTCCAGCTGATAGAAACAGTTTGAGGTCCGTAGAGATCTATACCAGTGACGAGTTGTCTCCTGTGTGCAATTTCAGCTTCTTTCACTAGTCATATTTTAAAAGTCTAAGCCAAAACAAAAATCTGTAATCCTCATCCCTATAAGCTCATCCCTGTTCCGACACAAAAGTAGAGAAGGCACAAAGAGGCCAAAGAACAAAGAACTCTGCTTCCACCTTGGCATATTGACACTCCTGTGAAAGAAGCTGGGTAATCTTAAGCATTCAATCACATTTTTTTTCTTCTAAAATACTCACCTGACTTTCCCTTTGGTATTTCTAAGAACAGTTGCAGCAAAATTTTGTGTAACGCCAACTAGACTGATGCCATCAACTTCTACAATCTGGTCATTCACTTGGATCCTTTCAGGGAAAAAACACAAACATACAAATAATTCTGAGAATTCTTGGAGAATTTTCAGCAACACTTTGCATATAGAGATTTTTTTTTAGTTTAAATTAAAAAAAAACTTCAAACACAAACATGGTCATGAAACAATTCAGGTAAATACAAAAAAAAGCATCATTCCTTGCACACAGACATCTCATAAATCCAGCATGAAAGTTACTATTACAATTAATTGCATCGATCATCCAGTAACTTTTCTTGTACATAAATACAGCAACACGAACTCTTGAAATTGTCATATGACTTAAATTAAATGAGGTATTTGAACAGTTCTTGTATCATTCTTTCCTAAGCCAGTCCTGAAAAACAGCAGAAGACAGAGCTCTGGTATTTCATGCTAATGGAAAAAAAATGTGATATTTAACTAAAACAACCTGCTCATCTGTGGAGAAAAGAGCTTGTGCATCAGACTTAATTATGACCTACTCTCTTAAAATATTTCATCTAACTTGCTCCAAAAAGATGAATTCCCAGTGTAAGTATGATCTTGCTGCACACAATAATAAGGCCTTGGACTGTTTTAACGAAGACTCTCTCTTTCAAACCAAACACCTATTAACAGTTGATGCACTGTTTGATGCAGGAAAAGTAGGTGGAATAAAAAGTATGCTGTTATTATCTGAAGTAAGCACTGCTAAAAATACCTAGAGCAGACCTTGGAACCATCTGGATTACAAATGCTTGGACAGAGAACCGCTATATTAAAATGTTCTCTAGAAATGCACAAACTCCTACAGTTTCGAAAGGGAAAAAAAACTCCAATATTCAGAACTAGTCAAAGGGAGCAGTTTTCAAGTACTTATATGGATGTTACTGATCCAAACGATACAGTTTACAAAGGAACCAAGAAACAGTTACGAAAAAATCTTATTTAATTTATATGAAAATACCTAAATTAAGGTATTTAGTATCTTAGGATATCTTAGTGATAGGACTTCTTTTCAAAGAACAACAGAGGCTTCAAAAGAGGGCTCAACATTTTGACTGGGAGCATTAATTTCACTGTCAAGTCTGAGGCTACATGAGTTCAAGCAGTATCTTCAGTTCTTTGGACTCCACTGATGAGTTAGAAAGATTATTCTTTGGCAGCCTCGCACCACAGAACGTCACTGTTTTCTGGGCAGAATCTCCCTTCTGTATATAAGAAACTTTGAAATAATGATCTTCACGATAGCCTACAAACACCTACCTTGAAAAGCATATCAGGCATTTAACCTCAGAACTTCATTTCAATTTTCACTGAGGCATTTAATAAATACATCAATCACATTTATATTTATTGTATTTTGATACAGTAATTTTTTTTTTTTTACTTTAGCAAACATTAAGTGCAGTCAGATGGCCACAAGAGTTCCAAGGAAAGAAGTTTAAAAAGTTTCTGCCTACTGTGGGGGATGCTCTCACCCTCTTGGCTGAAAACTAAATGGCTGAAGAACAGATTCCTTTCTGGTAATGGTATCTTAGCTACAACACTTGACATAATTCACTATGCAGTGGACTAGCAGTGTTCATACAGATACACAGTCACAGTATTTCAGGTGATGAAACGTCACGTCAGAGAACTGTTGCCTGCAGTTTCGTAAGTAGTTCTATCTTGATCTACTGCAATTCAGTCTGATTCCATTTGTCCTTCAGGTCTATTTTGCACCTCCTCCTTTCTTGTTTGTACAGCTCCTAAATCAATTTCCAACTCTTATTTTTATAGCCATATGTAAACATACATAGAAACATACATGCACATCAAACAACACACAATTAACATTGCTGTTATTCAAATTATATACAGATGTAATTAAAAATGAAGTTTCCTGCCTGTTGCCATGCACATTCTATACTGTTCAGACCAAAATACTCTTACAGCCATATTCTCCTGGCCGCCTTCCTCTTCCTTGGGCACCCCTTCTCCAGCCTTACTCCCACCGCAGCTCTGTACCTGCTGCCTAGCCCTAACTCCCCAGACAAGCCACGCCAAGCACCATCTAGACCAAAATATTCTCATAGTCACGTTCTCTGGGGAACCTTAGCCCCTTTACAGCTCCCTTCATCAGGAGCTCTAGGCATCCTCTGTCTCAAATCTAATTTCAAACATGAACGAAAAATCAGGCTCAGGTCAGCAAAGCCTGAATTATAGAGGTTTAACTGCTTTTATCATTAATGAAACTGGTAATTCTTCTGACATTTTCTAATGGCCATGACTTAAATCTTTTGCTATGTGAAGCAGCGCTTCAGTGAAGTAGCAACTACAGAAATGAACTAACTAAAGTTGGACATATTATTTTCATAATTACTGCTCTGTATGATGAACTGAAAAATTTAACCTGTGCAGAGACAAAGTTCAGAGTATTTTCTAAGTTAAGAACTGAGTAACGTTTCAAAACTGTTCTCAATATCACAAAAAAACTGTAAAATGTAAATGACTCATCACCACCATCACTTGAAAGAAGAAGCTAAGAATTCTTCCAAGTAAAGATTTTATTTTTCATATTGAGTCTAATGACTTATTTTATATTTCACACATTATTAATAATCTATCATTACTTACAAACATGCTTGCCTTGGACTCATCTTGAAGTACCCTCCTTGGTTAAATAATGCCACACAACGCCTTTTCATATGACAGCTAAACACTACCTGTTTGTTTGCAGCAGCATGAATCAAGCCAGGGGTACTCAATCACTGAGAAACCCCTTTGCACAGATTTTGGGTTTCCACAGGAGGCAAGTACTTTATATCATGATATGATGGGTCTTTCAATAAAAGATGGGAATTATCCTGCAGATATTGTAATGCTTTAAATTGTAGTTTCAGAGAGCCTGCTTGAAAATTGCTATGTAGTTATTCAGAATATCTGATGCAACTACTGAATATAGTTTTATTTTCTGTTAGGAGACTTTGTTTTGCTATCAGTGTTAATGATTAACTAGGCTTTTCACAAAGATGAAGTTAACAGGACGCTTTACAGTTGATGCATTTTATTGCAGAACTGGCTGCTCCTGACTGAGAGGATTACATATCCCTTTCCCAAGTGAATGATCAGTCAGGCTCTGAAAGAGAAAATCAAAGGGCTATTTCTCAGCTGACTGAACATTCAGTCAGTGCAAAACGAACAACACACAAATCAAGACAAATATAAGAATGGTCAAAGAAAGATATTATTTTTTCTCAGCTGACAAGCTCCTTTCAGATGCCATCTAGGGAAATGAAAGAAGTGGCTTGTGATTGAACATTAACTTCTGTAGCCCACTCAAACATGTGAATAATGAGAGGAACAGAAAATACAGATCATCATAGAGCAGTAGTGAGCAACTCCAATTTTCAACCAGAGAAATGTCACACACAATGCCAGTCGTAAGCTTAAAGCTTTCTGGCTGAGCCCAAGCATACCCTTCAGAAAAACGTTCACTTAAATTTGAAGTAATGGATGAAGTAATGACACCTTAAGGTGTCAGCTTCTTCACTTCCCTTCATAATTTTTAAGCCTGTGATAAATCAATACTTCACCTTTAACCTGATATATTATTTCCAAGATCTGTAAAGACATCTGCAAGTTCAATTTGGGAGACTGTATACTTCAGTAGTTTCAGAGCAATGTTATCAAACTCATCAAACCCCTGCTATGTAGCGCCTTCTGACTTCACTTCTGTGGGGTTTCCACAGCAGAACAACCTTTTGCCTGGCCGAAAAGCTAGAGGTGTTCATCGATAAGGAACATGTTAAAATACAGCTTTTAGAAGAGAGGATCAACCTTTTAAAGTTTATTCTTACACTGTTTACCTATGTTCATGTTTGGTGTTGTTACTAATGTAACACATTACTAATGGATAAAAACAGAAGTAGAGAAGGCATATAGGTAGACTTAATTGCTAATGTATGAGGTAAGTAGTATTTTATTTGCATGCAAATTTACAAAAGGTATGCACTGGGACAAAAAACCAAATCATATGGGTTGGAAGATGCTTAAGAATACTTTTTATTATTAAATGACTACATAGTGAAGTGCTTTTCTAACTTTTAATGAGAATCATTGGCCTGCTTGTGGAAGGTATTGTGTAATACACAGATAAGTCTGTCCCATATGATAGGAAATATTGTATGTTCAAAGGAATTCTTTGAACTGCGCATACCAAGCAAGCAATTCTAGAAGCAACCAGGTTTTATATGAGCATCATGTAAGACTACAAACACCAGTTCATTTGTTTAGTGGGCAAGGTTTATGGTACAGCTTCCTCTTCCAATTGATTAGTGTAGTTTCAGTGCTGTAGGGTGAAAACTGAACTTCCGAGCAGAAGACTATGATAATCAGAAATACAAAGTAACAGCCTGTGTTAGCAAGCTTGAAAGGAGGTGTATTTAATAAGAGTTTAAACATTCAGATACACTAATTATTTTCCTAATCTAATGTTGAGCAGAATTCTTTTTCGTAAGTACTGATTGTTTAAAGCTAGTTTGAAGCCAAAAGAACACGTGGGAGGTCAACATCTGTAAAATCTAAATCACCTTCAAAAGTGATATACCATTTGGAATCTCTAGCTTTACTCATTGCTAAAGCATCTGGGTTTCCAGTAGTCTTTAACACGTCTTTGGCAAATCTGTTTTCATTAAACAGTTTAAACTCAGAGCACTGAACTGCTGTCTTCTCATAACCACATCAGGTATATTCAGACCTTACCAATGAAGTCTGCGAATTTTACAGCTTTGAGTTATCATGACATACATTAAGTGAACAACACCTTCCTATGAAAATAATAATTCATAATAACTATTGCTGGGAAAATTTCCCAATACTGAGTCTAGTTTACCTGCCATCTCTTTCTGCTGCCCCACCTTCTGTTACTGTTTTGACAAATATTCCCAGTTTTTCAAGGCCTGCATCTGCTCCGACTCCCATTCCAATAATGCTTATGCCAAGTCCATCTTCATCTGTGAAAAGGCAAGTAGAAATTTCTTACATTTGATTTATATAGTTGTTTGGTAGATAAACATTTAGGCTTTGCTTCCTCTTGGTTTTCCATGTCAGTAACATTATTATCCTTCTGCTTCCTTTAAAAAACTTTATTATTCTACCATTTTAATTACACACAAAAAAATATCACCTTCACCCTTACGAGATAGCACCTTCATTCTTACAGAAGCTCAGAACAACAATCAAGATTTTTACTCTTCCAGTGGAGAATGAAAACATTGCATCAAATACTGTGTAAAATCATGTGTTAATGGGGTGACACAAAACAATTCCCTTAGGGACATAAAGAATTGCATGTCTCTGAACTGCTTTAATTCCTTATCAAACAATTCTTGAAATCCAAAAAGCCAAGGTGACTACAATAGATTCACGGAAATTCAAGATAGGCTCTGTAGGTATGTATGAACCTCCTCGGACTTTTAGACCAGCGCCACAGGAATCGGAAATGGCACACAGACTCCATACCTTTTTCTAGTTCAACTGGGAAGAGCTCCAGCTTTTCCACACGCTTCTCAAGTTCATATTCAGCTGATGCAGCCACTGGGTCAACTTCATCATTTCTCCTGTCATAGTCTTCATTGGAATATGTATTGAAAACCTGTAGAAACAGATCAAAAATCACTCAACCAACTACTCCAGAAAGACTGCCAACTTATGAAAATAGCTACCGATTTTGTCCTGAGATGTTGCAGAGTTTGAAAAGGCTTTTACAAGACAAATTTCTTGTGTTCATTCAAATTTCAGGTTTTAAAATTTGTGCTTTTTCATTAAAATAAAGCAAAAGTATGATAGCAAAAGTCAATTGAGTATAAAATATTTTATTGTTTGTGATTATAAACACAGGTGAACCTGAATGACTAAGTTGGCCTATACATTTCAATATTTAAAACACGTACTTCAACTTATTAAGAATGGATTAACAGTAAAGATTCACAGACATGAAAAAGCAAAATACAGTGAAATGATGATCTGTATACAATCTATGTTTCAGTCCCTATTCCTAATGAAGTTCCAGTTTGCTTTCATCTAACCAAAACCAGACCTGAAGAGTACTAATCTACATTTATGCCACCTATGGATACCATTGGAGATTACACTCCATACTATGTACTAACTTAACATTAGGAGAGTGATATACACAGCCATGAGTGGTTTTTAAGGTTACCAGGTTTGCAGCTTTGTTTCAGCATTAAACCAGTAATTTAACATTGATTGCATTAACCCGATTATATTATTTACTCTACTTTTTATTATACCTTCAACCTGAACATGGCCCTCAATCAGAGATTTTTCAGACGTTCATTAACTTCAAACAGGCAGGAAAAGCCTGTTTTCAGATTTTAGAGGTCAGTTTGCCAGCTTAATTCACTTAACTGTCCACATTTGGCAATAATGAAAGAACACCCATTATCAGTGGTAATAATTTTATTGAACTTCAGTCCCATGCATTATATCATGTTCATTACTTCAAATAAAGGAAAACAAGCTCTCGTATTTCCTCCTTTTTCACAGGCACCCTACAGAAGACACAATTAGGTAGCCATGATTTTCTATATCATTGTTTCCCCTACAACATAAAACATCGCACCATGCTACGTAGCTACATGCATATTCAGAAGCTCTCAAGAAGCCTGCTCTCTTATAGCCTTGCTTGGAGGCTCCTTAACAACTGCCCCCAGAGAAAGCATGCCAGCTTGCTGTCCAGTGCAATGCCAGGAGCTGAGCTCATTTCCACCTGAGGTCCCACCTGCCCCAAAAGCTGTTAGTGCACATTAATTTCTTTTAAATAGTAAATATATTAAAGTTGCAATACAAAAATACTATGCAACACTATTGTTAAGTATAGTAACTCTGTTATGGCTACCAGAAAGCTACTGCAAAAACATCTCAACTTTATATATAGTGGTCAAAGCAGAAGAGACGTTAGTCGCTCCATGGAAATTTCAACTCCTCTATTTCATGTCTATGTGAAACACTTAAAAAATGGCCTCTTCCAAGAAAACTGAGATGATAAACACTTTACAAGAATCCATAAACATATCTCACACTGATTTTTTAGTGATATTGCTGCAAGAAAATGTCTGTTTTAACTAAATCGTATTCCCAAGAAGCCTTCATAAATATATCCAAGAGTTAAGTAAAGTCACATATTAACACTGTCCAACGCTGCTGAACATTTTATGCTACTTTAGTATGCATAAGATTGGAGAAAAGGAACTGATGCAGAAATAAGCATAAGGAAATATAACAATTTACTTAGTCTAAAATAACCTGCAAAATCTATATGCAAGTTCTGGACATGCAACACACAAATGGAGAAATCGTGCGAACAGCCAACTCCTTCAAAATGTAAGTGATACCCTTCAGCTCCTTCCCTACGCTTCGGTTTATGGACGTAGTAACTGCATCCGTGTCAAGTATTTTGCAAAGGCCTTGAACAATGTATTGATTTCTGCTCCTGTTGTTAATCCCATTGGGTGTCTGAACTCCCAGTTAAAATAGAAAACAAGGTGGTCTCCATGCCTGCTCAACAGCCTGACAGGTGTTCTGAAAAGTCTCTTGTTACTCCACGTCTTTCACAGACCTCTTTTACACAAGATAAAGCCTTCTTCATGTTATGTACCCCTGCCTGCTGCTTCTTAAAACACTTGAATGCAGGAAGAATCATGAACATGGTTTTCTATGTAGGTCATATCAAGTTAGAAAACAATCTGCAGATCTAATGATGTTAGCCTATATGTAGTGAAAAAGAAGCAGGTACGAGACGGAAGACCATCCCATTTATCTTTTGATTGATGACAACCATCTCCGCCCTGACACAAGAATAGATCAAACCAGTCAGAAGAGCCCACTCAACAGCAACGCAAACCCCTGCCACAGGCTGGTGGGTAACCTCTCCTGGCAGCTAACTCCTTCTCTGTTGTTTGCTGTCAAAGGTGACAATGCCCACTAAGGCTTCCATATCTAAACCCAATCTCATTCATGCTGACACCAAGCAAAATAAGGACCAATCAGCAGAGCTAGACCCAACTAAAACATCATTGAGCTAAGGTTTGACCCCAAACTTTTAGGTCTGAAATGCAGCAGTCATGCAAGCCAGTAAAGGTTAAAAACAACAGCTGTGAGTTTAGCTTGGATTGTCACATTTATCAACATGACAAGAGAGACCTGTGTTTCAAATGTGGAACAGAGACGGATGTTATCAAGGAAAATGGAGATACAGACACCAGCCATTGAAGGATGGCGAGAGAGGAAGATAGATATTGCTTGCTGGAGACAAAGAATAGATGAGGCTGAGGTACAGAGAAAAATTATGTCACAAAACAAATATATCTATTTCTGGATTCTTTTTCATCATGTTTTCCTTTTGTTCAAAGACTGGCATTAGTATATTGTGGCAGCAGTTTCAGATTTGTTGCAAAGTGACTGGATATGCTTCAGGATAATTTTCTTTCAAAGTAGCAAATCACATACTGACTTCAGATTTGTTGCAAAGTGACTGGATATGCTTCAGGATAATTTTCTTTCAAAGTAGCAAATCACATACTGACTTCTTGTTTGGAATGGTCTGTCTTGAATCACATTAGACAGAAGAGACAGCTTCTTGGATCTTGCTCACTGCTTTGGAATATTAAGATTTGCACACAAGAAGGGAACTAAAGATACTGCTGGTGGTGAATACCGTTATCATTATGTCTCCAAATATATCATGCCACTCTTATCTATCATCTTACCTAAGCATTCGATCTGAGCTTGTAGAATCACTGATAGCATCAAGGTAAAATGGTGTACATTTCTACCTGGCGTTAACTCACCATCTTTTATACGCTGGTCATATGACTTGCCCACTGCCTTCAACATGTTTTTTGACTAGGGGAAGGAGGAGGATATTCTTGTATGTCATTTACCTCATTTTGCATGATCACATTTAATGGCTGACTGATTCTATTAAATGAATCTCTGGAGTATCAAAATGGAAAAAAGAAAATTTGTGCTTGGAAATTTTCTTTCTTTATGAAACAGTCTATCCACCATAGTAACGAACTGCTTGCTCAGTACAGTCATGAGAACTGCCACTCAAGATTTTACTTTGCTAAAAATAAAATAAGCAGTTATAACTTTTTCCTCAAGGTAAGCTTAACTTAAGCAGACCTACTTCACCAAGTCTGTTGCTGCTGTGTTTCCTAGATGGGTGCAGGACTTCAGAGTCACGGGAATTCTCCCATTCCCTGTGATTTCACGGATTTGGTTTTGCTGCCACACTGTCCAAGTACCCACTACAGTAGTCTACTGAGCCACTACTTACAGAAAGCTCTTTTTTGGGAAAATCCAATACATCTTAGTCTCTGGTTGTACCTTTCCAAGTATTTTTTTTTTTAAAAAAAAAGGTGCCATGGAATTCACCTGTGACTTTTATTAGGATTTACAACAGCACTTGTAATCCAGCAACAGAGGAAATAAAAAGCCACCAACAGCAGTGATGACCCAATGGATACCAACACTCAATGTGTACATCAAAACAAACCCTGAATAACTGACAGGCTCACTCCAATGCTGCTGTTAACAGAACATACTTCTGTCTTCTCTAAAGTGAAAGAAAAAGCATCATCAGTGATTCATCCAGCACCAAAATAATGACAAACTATACAATCAAAGAAGCAGGTATTACTGGCACCCCCAGGGAAATCATACGTACACATACATGATTACTTGCTTCCCTTTCAGGGAGCAGTGACAGAGCACAATGTGGAAAAGACATGTCACTAACTATTAAAATATGTTGCAGTCTCTAATGCAAAAAAAAAACAAACCACCACCACATCTGGGTTATAATACTTCATTTTATGAATAAGACCAGAAAAATACAACAGCAGACAGAAATTGATTATTCTTGGAAAAAGTAAAAGTTTTACAAGTTTGGGGCATTTTTCATAGCTCTCAACTAACAAGAACCTTTAAAGAATTTTGCTGGCAGTAACAAGTAGGTAGTGACAGCTCTTTCTTTTTTTAAGGAAGTCAGAATGGAGATGAACTCCGAAGAAGCACATGGGCTATCCTCCCCAGAGGCAACACTGCTTGGTGATACATTAACCATGTTATTAGTGTTGCATACTGTAAACTCTGCAACATAAAAACTGTCTCATCTGATGTGTTAAGAAAGTCCCAAACATATAGAGTATATGCTGCATACACCTATAGTGTGTTTGCAAGTTGTGCTAAGGAATAAGACCTCATTCCAGGCTCCACTGCTGCTGCCTGCCTTGCTGTCCGTGCGTTTTACTCCTCCAATGACTGGTGGTCCTAAAGAGAAAGAACCACGCAGGAGCTGCGTATTGGTGGACGACACCTTGTTGCAATAGCTGTTCTACCACGCCTTCAGTTACTCAAGTCTAACACATACAAATAGCCTCTCTTCATAAGCAATTCTTGAGTACACCAGGTCATTCCACGCCAGGGGCCACAGCCAATGTATGCTAGTGATGACTGTGTAATACCAATTATGAAAGCATGCTTTCCACCCACTATTGATACTGCTGTCATAATGCCTGCTCCTCATGCCTCTGTTCAGAAAGTAAAAACAGCACGTAAAATCCAACC